GGGTCATTACAAATTCAAGGGCTTATTTTAGGCTCCTATTTCATCCATATCCTCCTGTCCTCTTGTGACTTAACTTTATAGTGGGACGTGTTGCTAATGCTTATAGATTTCACTGGGGCATTCAGATGTGGGGTGGGGCAGGGCAGACGATCATATACTATTGAGATTTTGTTGAGGGAATTGTTGTCCAGGTATGGTTGTGACCAGATGGCCTTTTCTGAGACTCTTTGATAATTAGTCCAAACTCTGCCCAGTGGATGGACTTCCCTCTACAAATTTTCCAGTGAGTCCAATTCAATCCATGATGCAATATCCACATGGCTTTGCCTATAATAGTATGTTTAAAAATTAATTGAATGTGTGACTATTTAAAAATGTATAGATTACATTGCTCTAGATAACAATATATAAGAGTACAATTAAAACTTTCCATTGGTGTCTCATGGGACTTTTCTGTACACTTAAAAATAAAAGTGTTACTTGTTGAGATACAAGACTTTAAATACTTCAACTTAAAAATGTGGGAGCTTTTCTGGATAGCTAGGATAAGATGATAAAGACTCCACTAAGAAATAGCATCAAATAGACATCTTGGGACATTAAGCCTGCAAAAGAGAAGAATCGGGGTGGGGAAGGGGGATGGTAGCGATCTTCAGATTGCCAACAGACTGAAATGCTGTTTCAAATGAAAGATGTATTAGATTTGTTCCTTTTTTGGCCTCAGACACAGACCTGGAATAATGATTGAAAACTCCAAAGAAGTAAATTTAATTTTGATGTCAGGAAAAGCTGCCTATCATGAGCGATATCCCAGGGTGGAATGGGTTGCCTTGGGAAATGGTGGCTCCGCCTCTTAGGAGGTCTTCAAGCAGACCCTAGATGACCACTTGTTGCGTGTATGGTAGTGGGGATTCTTTCTTTGGGTGTGAATTGGACTAGATGGTCGATGAGCTCTCTCTTCCAAATCTGGAAGTCTCTGATTCTGTGAGTTTAAACTTTTAGGGCTCTTAGTGTGGTACATTTTACCACAAGGATGAGTAAGATTCCCCTTCTTCAGAGGCCAAGAGTTGGAGCAATAAGTATAAAACATTTAACAAGCAGCTAGGGACCCATCCTCGACAAGCAGCCTATTAGTCACCGGAAGGGAACACACGCTCCTAAAAACCCACATGTGCTCTTACTGACTGACAGCAAGGGTGAGGTGTCCAAACTAAGGAGAGTAAGTTGGTGCTGGTCAGGAGTCAGGCTGTTGGGTCTGGTGCCAAGTAGAATGTGCAGGCTGATTTGGAAAATAGGCCAGGAAACCAAACATTACAGTTAATAAGTCAGGAATTGTAATCTCTAGGTTGGCAAGAGCAAAAGAGGACCAAGCATGCCCTGTGATGTTGAAAAAAACAGGTTAGCACACATACTCCTACTTGAACACTCTTAGGTCTATCCATCATCCTTGCCACAATAGCAAGAGAGATTAGCATCATATCTAAGCAAGGGAGAAAGCAATCAAACAGGAGCCTGTGTCCATCAAGTATTTGGAACGAAATATGAGAAAGAATATTGAGAGCTCAGTCCAGAATAGTTGAGTCCAGCGTTTTTCCAAGCACGAGCTGTGTGGCCTTGGGCAAGCTAATCTCTTTTACCTCAGTTTCTCATCTATGTAATAGAGATAACAATCCATGCACTTACTATATTGCAGAGTAGTTATTTTTGTTCATATTTGTTTGCTTGTTGTCTCCTCCATCAGATTGTGAGCTCCTTGAGGGCAGGGACTATTTTTTGCCTCTTTTTGTATCCCCAGTGCTTAGCACATTTCCTGGCACATAGTAGGATTACAGTCTGGCTCCAACTTATTTTTCCAATCTTATCATCCTTTACAAATTCCGTGGTCCACCCACAGTGACCTTCTGCTCTTCCTCACATATGACATTTCATTTCCTGTTTTTGTGCCTTTGCTTAGGCTGTACCCACTGCCTGGAATGCACTTATTCCCCCCTGACATCTGCCTTTTAGAATCCCTGATTTCTTTCAAAACTCTGTTCAGACATCATTTTTTATGTCAGATCTTTTCTGATACTTACCATTGCTAGTGTATTCCTCCACCCCACCCCAATACTTGGTATTATTCTGTACATTTGTGCATAATTTTATTAATGTTGGGAGCTCCCCAGAGGAAATATTTTTATCTGTAATATAAAATCTTGACTAAGGCACAAAAGGTTGTGATTTGTCCAGGGTGACACAGCCAGTGTGGAAGATGAAATGTGAGCCCAAGTCTTCCTGACTCTGAGGCTAGCTCTAAGTAGATGACCAACGGAGAGATATTTATTCAATGCTTAGGGAACCTAGATGGCACAGTGAAGAGAGCATTGGACCTAAAGTCAGGAAGACCTAAGTTCAAATCCTACCTCTGACACTTACTAGCTGTGTGACCCTGGGAAGGACAGTTAACCCATTTCAACTTCAGTTTCCTTTTTCTCTAAAATGGGGATAATAATAACCTTCTTCACAGGATTGTTGTAAGTATCAAATGAGAGTATTATATAAATGTTAGCTGATGCTACTGCTACTACTGCTGCTGCTACTTACTAGGCGTTGTGCTAAGCACTGGGGCTATAAATACAGTCAAACAAGATAATCCCTGACCTCAAGGGGCATCTGTTCTAATAGGAGATGAACTAGAAAGGGGATAGTACTTAAACAGCTGTGTGGTGTGAATATGGTGGGGAAGTGGTATGAAGCTCTGGTTCCTGTGGTGGAGACAAAGAGAAAGAGGAAGAGGCAGTAGAAGGGGAGGGTGTGGGTGGGACTAGATGTCTGATGAGGATCTTTTCCCTTCTGTCTCTAAATCTTCAATCCTATCATCTCATGATCCTTCACCTTTTAAAAATGACTGCCTTTTGTCAATTTCCAGAAGACTCTAAGCAAAATGATATATAGTAGGAGCTTAATAAATACCTACTGATTGGTTGAGGACAAAGCATCATTGAACAGTAAATGCATATATATATAAGGCCTGTTCTAATAAAGTCCATTAATACATAGAACCCCAGCTGACACTGATTTAGCTTAGACCCAGTTGAATTTTCCATTTGGGTTTCTTATTTCAGAAAATCCTTACTGATATAACCTCATCTTGTCTTTGTTTGGAAACTGTTCTACAGTCTTTCTACAGTCTATATAATAGTCTGTTCAGCAAGCCAGATGTAATAATTCTGGCAGATATGGCCCCTATTTATGTGTACAATTGATTTGTACCTATGAAAACCTTCAGTTTATTAACAGAGGTCTGTTAAATGGAAAAGAAGTATGAATTGGTTTGGATTTTTATGAGGCTGAATCATCAAAATCAAGCACAGGCTTTTCTGATGGTTCCAAGTTTCTAATGGAAATTTTAATTTTTCAAAACTTAGCAACTTGTTTGTTTATTTTTGCTTTGACAGTTACAATTCGTGTCTTTTGCAGATATGTGATAATGTTATTTTATAAGGAAATGTCAGGTGCAATCATTTATGAGTATGTGTTATTTGCGGTATGCCAACAATACTCACTGCATGGGCCACACTGTATGTACAGACAGGGTCTGTGCCCCCAAGGCCTATGATTAAACTTAGATAACTTTAGAAACAGGAAAGTGAGAAGTTGGAAAAATAAGCAAAGAGTGGACGCTACATTCTAAGTGGGCCAGATTTTCACTTTAGTATCAAAATCTATTGACTTTAGAGGACTCCTGGGAAGTGGGAGCCTTAACCATGTACTCTACAGTCCAGTCAAACTGACCATCTTAATAGCTAATAATAATGGCTAACATTTGTAAAGCTTTTACTGTATGCCAGGTCTCTGCTGAGTGTTTTACAAATATTGTCTCATTTGATCCTCCCAATAACCCTGGGAGGTAGATGCTATTATTAATTATCCCCAGTTTACAGATGGAGAAACTGAAGCAAACAGAGGTTAAGTGACTTGCCTAGGGTCACATAGCTAGTAGGTGTCTGGGTCACATTTAAATTCAGGTCTTCCTGGCTCCAGACCAGGGCTCTGTGCACTGTGGCGCCACCTAGCTGCCTTCTTGTTCTTGATGCACAACTCTTCATCTCCCATCCTTGTGCATAGACCCTTCCCTATGGAGGAGTACAAGTACTATGTATGGAGTACAAGCTATCTCTTATTTTCCTTAGTTTTCTTCAGAGCTCAGCTCAAGCCCCATTCTACATGGAACCTTTCCTAATTTTTCCAGGTGCTAATGCCTCTCCAGAAGTCAGTCATCTTGCATATGGTTTGTATATGCTTATATGGGTACATGTTCTCTTCTCCATAGACTGTAACCTTCTTGAGGTCAAGGACTTTAATTTTTGTCTGTGTATTTCCAGTGCTTAGCATAGTGTCTAGCACATAAGTGCTTGTTGGTTGATTCATTGATTGAAAGCAAGGATTTGTTCCTCTGTGTGTGGGGGTGGGGGGATGAGTGGATTTTTCGTAATTTAATTAAAAATGGATCTGATCGGCTTCCATGGGCTCAATTATCCTCACTATGCATATCAGATCTATTTATCCAGTCTTAACCTCTCTCTTCTTTGGGCTACTAGGCAGAGCAATGGATTAGATAAGAGTGCGGGGTCTGGAGTCAGGAAGACCTGAGTTCAAATTTGGCCTCAGACACTTATTGGCTGTGTGACTCTAGGCAAGTCACTTAACCCAGTTTGCCTCAGTATCCTCATCTGTAAAATGAACTGGAGAAGGAAATGGCAAACCACTTCAGTATGTTGGCCAACAAAAACCTGAAATGGAGTCATTATGAGTTGGACGTGACTGAAACGACTGAATAACAGCAAAAACACACACACTATTTTTTCAAAACTTTAAACTTACCTGCACTTTAAACTGAAATCTCTCCCTAATAGTCCCTTTCCTTATACCTGCCCTTCTTTGGCTACCAAAAACCTTTAAAGTCTCTGTAAATATTTTGCCTATTCTAAATAGCATTCTAATGGTACTTGTTGTAACAGGTTTATCAGGCGTCAAGGGAGAAAAAGGAAATCCAGGAATCGGGAGTCAAGGACCCAGAGGCCCCCCTGGACCTGCAGGTAATGTATTCTACCAAAACTATGGTAGGAGGCAAACTTAAAATCCTGTACTTCCTTCTCATTTCAGTCTGGGGAAAGCTGTAATGTCAATTTCCATGACTCACTTGACATTCTTCTATTTCTCATTCAAATGATTGGGATATTCAAGGGAGAGCTGTGTGTGTGTGGCTGTAATTGGAGAAGCTCCTAAACATTTATCCTCATTTAGTCATAATTATGCCTAAAGGTTATGTAGTGTGCCAGGATGGTTGTGGTCTTACACATCTAATATAGAATTTATAGCTTTTTATATGTTCTTCTTGTCTTCTGATGATAAAATAGGCTCTCCAGATTATAAATAGACAATGTTATGTCTTTAGTCTGATTGAATTAAAGTCATTATAGAGTTTTGTTTTCTGGCCCTGATGATGGCTTTAAAAAAGCTCTTTAGAAGGAATGAACTTCATAGCACATTTTGGAGTAAAGTAGATTTCCTTACTATTCAGGTTTAAAGATTTCATGGCTAATTAGAGATTTCTTGAGCAAGGAGAGAATAGCACCAATTAATCTATTTATTTAACAAGTTTTTATTAAGTGCCTACTATGTGCCAAGCTTTGTGCCCTTAACTTGATTGTTTCATTCATGTATTGATATAAGTACAATGAATGAAACACCCACTTTCAACTTGAAAACCTTCCAGACACTTTGGATCCAGCCTGATAGATGGCCTCAAAGCACCTTTGAGCTCAGAAAATTTTAATTCTTTCCAAATTTTCACTGAGCCCCATTACTTAGAGACATCTGGTGGTACAGTAATTAGATAGGGCACTGGGCTTGAAGTCAGGAAGAACTGAGTTCAAATGTGACCTCAGATACTTATTAGCTATGTGATTTTGGGCAAGTCACTTAACCTGTTTGCCTTTGTTTCCTCAACTGTAAAATGAGTTAGAGAAGGAAATGGCAAATCACTCCAGTATCTTTGCCAAGAAAACTTCAAATAGGATATCCTAAGATTCTTATACATAAGAATCAGAAAACAACAACTTTTTATTTTATGGAAAATGCTATTGGTCAAAATGTACTCCTTTCTCTTAGACTATCCAGAAGATACTACTTAAGAATGAGTTTTGCTTTTTGCTATGCTGAGATGATTTAGACATTTGCCTAAAGGAGGGAGTCCAATGGGTATTTTCATTACATTTTCCGTTAGCAAGGAATGAACTGGGAAGGAGCAGATGGAAAGTGAAGAACATTTATATGTAAGGAAGATACCTGAAGAGCAAGTTTGTTTATTTCCTTTAGGAGCTTTAGTTTACTTTCCTAAATAATACTAATGCTAACAGTCAATCTAATTATACATTTGTGTTCTCATAGGACCTGCAGGTGAGGGTCGAACTGGTAGCCCTGGGCCACAAGGTTCACCTGGTCCACGAGGTCCACCTGGTCACCTAGGTGTACCTGGACCACAGGGACCTTCAGGTCAACCTGGCTACTGTGACCCTTCTTCCTGTTCCAGTTATGGTGTTGGAGGTAAGTATGGTCCACAATGGTGGTGGTAATGGGCCTGTGTGGTGTGGGGGAGGTAGAGAAAAGACATTGAACAACGGTGAGTGAGAAGTATAGTTCAAGTTTAACAAAGGCCAGAATCATCTGGGAGAGATGTCCTAAATTCTATAAAGTATATGTATGCATATATGTATATATGTATATATAATATATGTGTATATATACTAGGAAAATAAGTAGCCCCTTCAAAAATATGTCAAAGGTAGATAGAAGATTGAAAATAGCAAATTCCAGTTTTTCCTTACTTCTCTCTTCCCAGTCCTAGAATATTCAGGGAAGTAATTGGAGTCACTGACTTTGTAGTTGATAGTTAGAAAGAATTGGTAGGAATCTTATAGCTTCACCCTTTTTTGCCACTCTGATATGGTCAAGGTCTCTTGGCAAGAATATTCATATTGAGGAGAGCCTTCTACCAGCTGTCATCATAATGAACAGAATTCTCTAGTTTCATTCATGGGATTCATCTACTGCTACTATTACCACTTCTACTACTACTACTACTACTACAGCAACTACTACCATTACATATATGTTAGGAGAATAAGAATAATTTTAACAAGAAGCAAAATTATTAATATAATAACTTCTCCTCATTACTAACTACTAAAGTGAGATCCTGATAAGTAATTGTTCTCCTTAAACACTTCCATCAAATGCATGTTGTCAGAAGATATGCTCTGCAGATAAATGCTTTCAGGCATCATTTGACAAATGAAATTGTATAAGGACCTTCATTGCTAGAGCGATAGGGAAAAGAGAAAGTGCTTGCTGGACTGGAATGTAATGTATCTACCATGGCAGGACTATTAACCTTGGTAACCATATATCCAGAATGAAGCTTGTCTGATGTCTTTTTCTTTGTTGTTCATCTTTCCTACCCTTGTTCCCTCAACTCCTCGGACTGCCATTCTGTCTTTAAAGACGTGATCCCTTACAATGATTACCAGCACTGAAGCCAAAGCCTTTGATTCTTGGTTGCATTTTCCCTTGTATTTGTCCATGGATACAAAACTGCCATATTGACCACCACCACCAAAGCTTGACCCAGTAGCTTGTGCACAATCATTGTTCTCACACCACTAAACGACATTACCCATCACACTTGCCCTCTCCCTTTTCACCTTCACTCCTTCCAAGCTTTTGTGGTCTTCACATCATTAAACAACATAATGAGAAAAATTGGAATTTGATAAAGACAAAACCACATCACAGAAACTAGCCAGCACAGTTCCAAAATGAAAATAGGCATGTCAGCCTGCCCAATGCACACCCCCCAAAAAAAATTCACTCAGGAAACACACATATAATCAGATTAGTGAAATCTGGTGTCTGATCTTTGCTGCTCATCACTTGCCTGAAGTATGTGGGTATGGTGCATTCCTTTTCTTTCCTGGTGATGATTTTCTGATAACATTGAACTATCCAGTAATGATTTGGGTTTCTCCTCACTCCTTCTTCACTTTCCACCTCTCCTGCCTTGTTGCTTTCATAATCCTGCCAAATGTTTTCAGTGCTCCTTTTTATAAATTAAAGGCACACTGTTTCAATAGTTGGCTGTGATACTGGTTTCCTAATGACTGCTCTCATGTTTTGCTTTTTTCCTCTTTTGCTAACCATTTGCATCCTCTTGGTGGTGGTGGTGGGTAAAGATGGACACAGTAATCCAGGTGGTCAAGATATCCCTTGAATTCAATTACCACATAACTAATTCAACCCGTGGCCCTGAGAACCTATGATATGATGGGGAACAGAGTTTATGGTTCCTGAGTCCTGTCCTTGGCTAGTCTCATACCCCCAGTCTTCCTATCCAGCACCTGAACCTGATCAGCCGGAGTTCACACCTGTTCGAGAGGATTTGGAAGATCTGATCTGATGGCCCCGGGAACCAATTATTCCAAAAGGAACTGGAAAATCCATTAAAAGAACTCTTAAGGCATCGTTGTTAAAGGAAAATGTTGGTGTATGATTTGTATGGTTCACTTGTAAAGTTCTTGTTCAGTAAGTAGCCTAATTTTCCCTCTTAGAAAATATTTGCAGGGTGACTATATTGTTATGATTATCATTGTTTAATAACGAAAACCAAAAAAGATCATCCTCTTACCCTGGGTCGTAAGAACAAAACAATTAAAAAAAACCAAAAACCTAAAACCTTCTACGTTGGTCACTATCTTTAAAGAATGGTGCTTCCTTTTGCTGTTTTAAATGCCTGCCAGATTATTCATGTTTTATTGGGAAAGTACTCAGCAAAGAATGAAAAATCCTTCTCCAACCCTGGAAGCTACCCCCTGCTCTAATAGACAGTTTGAAATCCCAGAATTGTATAGTTTCAATTAGATTAGGGAAAAATGGGCCCCCAGGAGAAATGTGGTATAAGGGCATTCCAAGTTTACCTCAGGGACCCAGTAAATGAACTCACTGACTGTAAGAAAGGCCCCCTCTACGGAAGGAATGCTGTCAGGAAAACACCATTTTGTATTGTGGGTCAATCCAACCCTAATTACCCTGATATATTTTGCCAGGCCCTCAGAACCAAGGACTTGATTAGTATGTCTTTGCAATCAATGGTTTTACAAACAAATATTCCTTTTTTGTGTTTTGAGAAATGAATTGCTATGCTAAAACGCTGACCCTCCCTCAATCTAAAGAGAGATCTATATTTAATGAAAGAATTCTTTAGTTTTTGGTTGCTGGGACTTCTTCATTGCATCTACATGGATTGGTGTGAACACGCAGATAATTTATTGTTTACCTTATCTCCATTCTGTTTTGTAAGCAAATAAAAGCTGTAAACTATATTTGAATGAACTTGTCTCAGTTTATTTATTTAAACTTTATTTAAATTATTAAATATTTAAATTTAAATTTATTTAAACTTTATATTGGAGCCATAAATAAAACAGAATTATCTTGCCCTGCTTATAATTTTTCTTTGTCCCCTTTTTCTACTTCCCATACTCTCATACTTTTAGACGTCTTTTTGGCCTGAACCTATGATTTAATTGGTGTAGGGAGCTCTCATTAAGTAAATTCCAATGCGTATTGGCATATGCACTGCAATTTATTGTATTAGCAAATTTCCTGTGTTACTGAGAGGTTAAGTGACTTCCTTAGGCCCACCGAGCAAGGGTGCCCCAAAGACAGGACTTGAATCCAGTCATCCTGATTCCAAGACCAGCTCTTTAACCGTTTTGTCTATATCTTGAATTAATTTCTCTTACTTTTTCAGTGGGAGAAAACATAGGATCAAATGGCCTCCAATATCCTTTTGATCTTCCTTTCTGATCATTTTTGTTATAATATGTTCTCAGTACCAAGTAATATTAATCAAACAAAAAGTAGAATGAGCCTAGTTAATCTGGTCAACACATAGTTCTCATCTGATGGTAAAAGAGCCTTGCCACTCTACACTATTTATTGCCCTTTGCTACCTTATTTCACTTCCTCTGCAGAACTGGAATAACATCTTTCATCCTGAATAAAGAAATGCCAGGCTTCTATGCATCATCCTTATACAAAGTGATATAATGTGATAGTTTGAATTTGTAAAGGAGATTATGAAATAACTAAATAAAATAATTAGATCAATGTTTAGAAGAGTGGATTAGTTAATAAGGCAGCAAGACAAGTAACTGACCGATATTTCCCATCGAGATGTTCAACAATGTATTATTCCAGTTGAAATGAATGTGATGAGTGATAGTTAACAGCTGTTTCGAAGGTCTACTTTCTGGTTTTTTTTTTTTTCGGAGAAAATATGGGAAGAATAGAAGAGAAAAGGAGCCAAATATGGAGGGAATCCTGTTGGTGACTTGGAGGGGATTAGACTAATCAAGTACATCAGAAGTTTAATTTGGGAAGTAGAACAATCCCCAGGTCCAAATACTGGTCCAGACTTTACTACTGAATTCTGAGAGATGAAAGATCAAGCATATATATATATATACATACATACATACATGCATACATATACATAGATATATATACACATATACATCCATATATGTGAGAATATGTATGTTTAAGGAAGATTAAGTCAAAAGAAGTTGAAGGAAAAGACAGTTGGCAAGACAAGAAAAGTGTGGAACAAATCATTGTTGTTAAGTCGTATTCAGTCATGTCTGACTCTCTGTAACCCCATTTGGGGTTTTCTGCAAAGATATTGGAGTGGTTTGCCATTTCCTTTTCTAGTTCATTTTACAGATAAAGAAATTGAGGCAAACAGTATTAAGTGACTTGCCCAAGGTCACACAGCTAGTAAATGTCAGAGGCCAAATTTGAAGTCAGAAAGATGAGTCTTCTTGACTCCGGGCCACCTAGCTGCTTAATGAAGAAAATGAGTACTAAGTAAATGGATAGAGTAGATTAGTGGATGGAGAGAAATGGTTCTAAAAGTTTTAACCGGGTGCCTACAATTGCAGTGTAAATGCTCAAAAATAGTTTCAAGAAATAAAGCTGAAAATCTCAACCATTACGAAGAATTTTAGCCACAGCTGGGTGACTAATGTCTGTGTTCCAAATGGAGGACGATCTCTCTCCTGGAGGGGAAGGTCAAGGGACTGGAAGAATGGTTCTCCATACTCCACATTGTTAAAAAGAATGAAGGGTCACCACAGAAACAGAAGCCAGGCTTCAATGAGGGGAAAGGGAGTGCAGGGTTCTGAGGTGGAGGAGAGAAAGCAGACTTGACCCTTTCCAAGTTGATGGATAATGGAAGTGTTACAGAAAGGAGAAAAGGAAAACGATTAGAGCTTAACAATAATGTTTAGGCTCTTCCTGAAGAGAAGAGACTTGGATACTCTGAGAAAGAAGAAGTTGTTCATCCTCTCAGGAATCATATAGTAGAGTCCCAGAAGCCCTCAGGTGAGACGGCACCTGGTAAGGAGCAGAAGAAGACGTGAAGAAGGCACAGTGGATAGAGCACCGGCCCTGAAGTCAGGAGGACCTGAGTTCAAATCTGGCCTCGCACCAAACACTCGACATGTACTAGCTGTGTGACCCTGGGCAAGTCACTTAACTCCAATTGCCTCACAAAAAACAAAAAACAAACAAACAAACAAACAAGAACAGCAACTCAGAAGTAGCTGAAGCAACAATTAGTTGACTTCTCCCTTCCCAGTGTTTGCGGGTGGGGTCACCCAGACTGTCTCCTAACTGTGCTGCTATGATGGTGCAGATGCTGTGTGTTCTGTCTGTAGCTGAGTACATTTTACATACAGAGAGGAACTTAGATAATTTTAATAAATAAATACTGATTTAGAATGAGTTTTGTCAACATGGGCAATAAATTCCAATTTCATTCAAGCCCTTCACAGGCTGCCAAAATCAACCTTTTCAGGCATTTCACATTTCACTCTCCTTCATGCCCCCTCGTTTTCCAGCTAAAGTGGCTTGCTTGCTGACCCACACCCAAGGTTTTGTGCAGCCTAGCCCACCTTCCTGGTATGCACTCCTTCACAACCTCCCTTTAGAATTTTCTATGGAAAACCTTACCTGAGCTGTTAGTCAGGCTGTTAGTGTTCATTCTTTCCTGAAATTACCTTATATTTAGCATCTGCTTACACTTATTCTCCAAAAGAACATTAGCTAGGCCACTAGGTGGCAGCTAGTGGATAGAGAGAGCATGGGCCTGGAGTTAGGAAGAGCTGCATTCAAATCTTACCTCAGACACTTACGAGCTGAATGACCCTGGGCAAGTCACTTTACCTCTATTTGCCTCAGTTTCTTCAACTGTAAAATGAAAATAATAATAGCACGTACCTCTGAGGGTTGTTATGAAGATCAAATATGATAACATTTGTGAAGCACTCTGTAAAACTTAAGACACTATATATTAGTTATTATTAGTTATTCATTAATATGTTTTATATTAATTTAATGATTTATTAATGAAATTATTGAGTAGTTATTATTAATATTATTGATATCCTTGAAGAACAGAAACTGTTTACCATTTTTTATTCTACATCACCAGCACATAGCCCGCATAGTGCCTCTAATATAAAAGGTACTTAATAAATGTTTGTTGAATTGCTCTATCTCTCTGGCCTAGGTACACAGTATTAATTCCAATGCAAAATGAAATTTTTTTTTATTGACCACAAAGTTACATAAACCAAAAATTTGGGTTCAAAGGGGAACTTCTGGTTTTAGAATACTTTTGTGTTAGAAAAAGTAAGAGTGAAGAGAATCCTTTTGCCAGAAAGCCTTTGAGTGATTGGATTTTGTTAGTTATAGACACTTAAGAAATCATTGTCATTATAATTATTACTATCATTAAAGTTTTCTTACTAATTAAATGGTATGGTTTCATAAGTACATACTAACAAGAGCTTTGAAGTTATATAAGCATATATATACATATATGCATATATATTGTGGTTTTTATTAGAAAATTGGCTCCCAGATGTGGAGTTTTCTCACAAAATTCGAACAGCTTAGACGTTCTAATAGTTTAATGTTATCATCATCATAGAAAGCACCACAAAGCCCAGCTGTCAGAGCATGATCCTGGGCCAGATCTTGTATGGTGTGAATTAGCCTTTCTGGAGCTTGTGTTCAGAGAGAATCAACACAGTCAGGCACAGAGACAGTCAGAGGGGAAGGCCTTGAATAAACAAAGTGCTTACACTTCCTATAAACAAAGGGGCAAGTACATTTTATTGGGTGACGAGTGAAATGACCTCCATAAAATAACATTTCAATTTTTCCTCTGTATTTCACTGCATAATGGAAAATACATATGGACAAGAGGAACTTTTTTGACTTTAAGCCACCTTCACAAGCTAAATATATTCATGGTTCTGGGTGCAAACACATAATTTCCTAAGCTTGCTGGCAAAAGGCTTTATGATGAAATCTGAAAAATCCTCAATATTGATGTAAAGTGAATTCTATACCAGCAAAAACAATAACTGAGCCAATCAGGAACTAACATGCACAATTAGCAGAGTGTCTGCATACATTTTGAGGTCTTCTCTGACACAATCTCAGTAAATAACGCAAAACTCTCTATGCATAGTTTCTGAGATTCAGGTATCAAAATCTTGCTAACTTGGGTTCAGAAGCAATAGTATTTATTGTCATTATTTAAATGGGCCCAATTCCTAAACATCTGGGTATGTGAATAAAATACATATGTGTGTGTATATATATATATATATATATATGCACATATGCATAGATACACACACATGCACATTGGAAAATAATCTCTTTCAGATGTGAAATTCTCAGTCTCTCCTCTTGCCAGCCTTTTCCTGTGCTTTCCAAACAGATGGTCCATATGCTAGTTTGGGAAGCATTGTACACTTACTCTTCCTGGAGACAAAGAAAGTTCCTTTGTACCCCTCCAATGGTCAAGTCTAGGTACTGTTAGGAATAACTTTATAATTGTTTTCCATTTGCATTGGGACTATCTAATCACCACCAAGAACATAAAAACAAAAAAGAAATAATGCCTGTGTTCAAGGAACTTATATGGGGGAGTTGGGGTGGGGGGAGGATTCTGTGATGCCATGATGCTCTATCCTACCAAGAGAAATGGAAATAGCAGAATTTACATCATCATTTTTAGGTTCTATAACATCTGTTAAGTACAGACTCTCACTTTCAAAGACCAGTCATCTTCTGACAGAAGTGGAAATTTAGGGACAAGGCTGGGGATAATTTTCTTTGATGGGAGTGAGAATGGAGACTGATTCAAAAGCTGCTCTATTAACCATCATTCTACAGCTCCATCAGGGCAGACATGATCTATTACTTAATTAGTTCTATGCCTTGA